TTTTGGTACTGGGAATTGAGTGACATGTTCTTGATGTGACACTATTGAGAAATGTGCAGAGCAGCTTAGCAAAGTTTATATTTTTGTGAGTGTACATAACTCATTTGTTTGTGGAACCCTCCTGGTAAGAGTTTGGATGTGTAGAAGGCCCAGAAAGGTATTGGAGTTGATTGCACATGGGATACTTGGAGCAGTTAAGTAAACACTACATCAAACCAAGTTGTCCATATCTTGATTTAGAGGGAAATGATTCAGAACATACTTGCTCTGATTCTACAAATGCATGATATGAAACTTTATACCTATTTAAGTGAACAAGGGTTATAAGGAAGACCAGATTCCTTTGGCAATGGGACTACAGGTCATTTCTATGGTCAAGCCCTAAGCCATGACCCGGGGAAGTTATCTTTCTTTGATCTTAGTCCTGGTCAGCATGAGTTCTCACCTGTACAGACCCTTGTGTGCTCACTTGCACCCTAGACCAGCACTGGCCACTGTTGGAGTTTTCATGCTCCTGCTCTGGGTTGATGGAGACCGAGTTGCCACATGGTGTGCTGATGATCTGCACAGAGCTCTGCCAAGAGAGTACCTGACATTTGAGCCACAAGTTATCATTCACTCCTCCTGGCCATCCCCACACAGCGCCCTCATAGAAAAATCTCTCCACGTTAGGCGGCATAGGGCGGTATATGTATAATCTTGAGACAGAGAGGTGCGAGAGGACAGCTTGAATCAGTTGATTAACCTCCCATCAGATAAACTGATCCCCAATAATCCCGTAACTATAGACCTTCGATGCCTGTCATACTTCCAACCATGAAGTAGGAAATAGGAAGTGGACAGGTCAAAGTTGGGACACTTTAAATCTCCCCCTGTTTGGGTCAACCCCTGCACATCCCCCCAAATCCATTGGTGAATGACTGCCCTTAAGAGGCTGGCATTGGCATGGGGTTATCTCTCTTACTTGTCGGCTCCTCCTGAACATTAGCTTGAAACATCCACAGTGAGGTGGGAACCAAGATCTGAAAAGGCTCTGGTTCCTGTGCCTTTTGCGGCTAGAACTTTGGAAACCAGGAAAACAGCAAAAGCTCATCTTCTACTCTTGAATGTCTCCCTCCAAGTGATCAGGGCAGGAGATAGATTCAAAAGTGTGGAGGCTTGGTTACCAGAGTTCCAAGCCTTGTTGGGTTCTATCACCGAGGTCATGAGGTCATTTCTTCAAAATTCCATTACAGTTAGGATGAGGAAGGGGATGAATGTTAGGGTGAGGGAACAAGATGGCATTTGGGTTGAGGTTTGTTGGGATGTAGTGGAGGTTTAACATGAGATTTGCACTGTGTTATGGCTGAGAATGAGAGATGAAGTGTTAGAAATTAGGTTCCAGGTTTTTGAAAAGTATTTCCTTCTTAGTACATCCTTGCAGTAGCTGTAGTTACACACAGTGGGGAGTAGGTGCACATTCACCGTAGAGTTGTTTTGTAATCCCCTTCCCTCTTCCTCTTCTAAATCCCTTTTGCTTGATTTCATTAATGTTATTAAACTCATCTCATGCATAAAACACACAGTGCTCACATTCACTTAGCAGATTAAATTCCTGCACATGGCATATCTTTATTCTCTTTATTTTCCGTTATGTGTAGATAGTACATTTTCTTTACACAGTCACCAGTGGATACACAGATGGCTTCCTTGATTTTGCTCTTAAGACCATGCTGCTATAAACCTTGGCTCTTTCTGTTACTCAGGATTTGGGTAGGGATTAGCATTGTAATTGAGTTTAGGGTTTGGGTTTAGGGAGATAAAGATCTAAGGGGGATGTGGGACATTTTCTTGTTATTGAGAATAAATAAGCAACAGTCCCAATTTATGAGGAGATGTTTATTTGAGCTAATGGTTTTTTAAGGGTTCAGTTTTGTTTGGGGGAATAAGTAAAGGAGGTGTATGGTGCAGAGTCAGCTTTGGGATTGGAATGAGGGCTAGCTTAGGCCCACGTTTAGGGCTACAGTAAGTGCTAAAGGTATTAAATATAGTGTTAGGGGCAGTGGTTAGTGGTTAGGATTAGATTTCAAAAACAGAGTTCGGGTTCAGATTAGGAATTAGGGCAGGTTTTAGTGATTAGTCTTGGGGATCAGTGTGAGTTTCCAGTTGGGAGTTAAGGTTAGGGTTACATTTATGATTAATACTGCAGGATACAGGTCCAGTTGGGATAATATCAGTGTCAGAGCTGGGGTCATATTTAGGGTTCAAGTTAGGGTTAAGGTAAAGTTTAGTGTTTAGGTTTTGACATTGGTTGAGTTTAATCTGTGTTTATAGAAGCAGAGTTAGGGATAGGATGAATGGTGGAGGACTATGGTTAGTTTTCATCTCTTTTGTTTTAGAGTGAGGGGTGGGATTAGGAATCAGAGTGGGTGATGTTGTCAGTGTTATTGTAGGGTATTGTCAGTGTTAGGGTAGGGGAGCATGAGTAATAGGTTTGGGGTTACTGCTCATTTATGCTTAGCTCATTGCTTAGTTTTAGTGTTATAGTCAGAGTCTTAGGGTTATAAAGTTAGGGTTAGTGTTATGTTAGAGTTAGGATTATTTTCTAATAGGATGAATCTTTGGGGAGGGTTAGTTCCTGATAATTGTTGGGTTATATATAGGGGTCGGTGTACTGGGAAGATGAGGTTTATGCAGAAAAAGAACAGATGTGAAAAACAACAACAACAACAAAATGAAACCATAAAAACAAAGAATTTTCCTGGATGTAAAGGATGTAGCATTCAGTTAAGGACATTATCCAACTGGATAGAAGAGCCATTCCAAGCCAAGTACTTTCTAAAAGAGATGAACTTCATATGTACATGAAAATTTAAAAACAGTAAATCAATGTGGAAACATTCCAAAAAGGAGTAAGAATCACAATGCAAATAAATACCATAATTAGAAGTGCTGTAACGGCTGTATTGATATCAGTTGAAACAGAGTTAAAGAGAAAGACTGTGAGCATACGAAGTATTACATTTAGTAAAGAAGATCCACAGATATCAGTGGGTAAGATGTGCCACTTGATTCGAGGAAAAATGTGATATCATGTAGGAGAGCAACTCAATAAATGAAAAGCCTTTTTGGTAGCTAGATATTATTATGGAAAATGTCCTACATCTGTACTCCTGAGATAATATTGAAGCCTGCACAAATATTTTAGGAAAATATTCTTTTTGTCCTGTATGTTTTAAGAGTACTTTTGTACTGTATATAAAGGAAGCTCTAGAGGCAGAAATAGTTTACAGAATGAAAAGTACCATAATAATTTAAAGATGAAACGAGCAAAACTCTGAAAATTTAAACCTTTTTCAGAAATACACATTTGCAAAAAAATGAGGTATGAGCAGCAGTGTGCAGAAAATGGTAGTGGTGAGCTTTTCTGTTGTGTCTTCTAGGACTTGGGCAGTAAGGAAGGTGCTATTGTTAAGTGACTCAGAGAAGCAGATATCAAGGAAAACAGTAAAACATGAGTAAGCACAAGGTTTCCCATAGCAGGAGGAGAGAGCCCCCCACCTGCTGGAGAATCCAACCCTTTCAGTTGGTTCAATTTTATGAGTGGAATGAGGTTTTGGGAAAGTTATTTTCCACTTAGATCAAACCTTGAAAACTGCTAAGATGTAGTCTTAAAAATCTGTGAGAATTTAAAGAATGTGATGGATGCCTGTGCTTTAGAGGACATAATGAAATGGGAACTAATTCACCCCCGTGACCATCTCAGTGATGGCATCAGGAATTTGAGCACATTATCATTGGTATCCAAACCATATAGCATGATTTATTTGTTACACATTGCAGAACCTGCAATCAGGTAGCAGTGAGCCTGTGGAAAACCATCTGAGTTTACCTGATCATGGTTTTCCTTTAGATAAGGTGATGTTTGTTTAAGCCATTCAGATACAGTGATATTATCTATGATTGCAACTATGGGAGTGTCATGGTAGGGAAGTGAAATGTTCCATAAAACTAAAGGTTTTGTTGAGAGTCGATGGGGTTTTTGGAAAATGATCAGATAATCAAGGCAGCAAGAATAGGTGGATGTCATTATAGGCAGGTGATGGATAAAGGCAATAGCCTTATTGGGTCATGGGGGTGAACATGAGGCATATATGTGTTCCCCGAATTTTTCCTGTCTGACTCCTGGACTCTTCTTTGGTGCCTGGTTGCCATGCTGAGACACTTTCCTCTTCCTGGCCTTTTCTGCTCTTTCTGACTTCCTGCAGGTCTAAAGTGAGAAAAGGTAGGCCATGGACTGCAACCTGTGGATTGTGAACCAAAATAAGCTTTTTGTCTTTCAAATTGTTTATGTCAGGTTCTCACACAACTAGTGACATTTTAAAATCTAAGGAAATTTTATGCAATTTGTACTTGTGAAAAATAATAGCATTTTATTTTTTAACTTGAATTAGAAATATTATTACAGATATTTAATAGAGTGACACTCTATTTATATTTAGATTAATCTATCTTTTATTCATGTTAGCATTAAATTGTGTTTATACCTTTGAAAATGACTGTATGCATGTTTTTCAATGAATTCTAGTTTTATGCAGCTCACTCAGTTTTCTCATATAAGACATAACTATCACATGTAATTCTTGTTGATTTATGTTTTCATCAGTAAAATATTCTATAAATATGCAGAAATTTTTGCAAATCTTTCTAACATACTACCCAATATCTTATTTTTTCATTTTGTTTTGACCTTTTTGTTAATTCATTTAGCAATAAAATATTCTCTCATTTGGATGAATGCATAATAAACCTGTTAGAAGTTTTTATAATAGGGTTAGTTCTTCTTTAGTTCATCCATGTGTATACAGATCTGGGTTTGGGTTACTACTGAGGGCAGTAAATCGGTGTCACTGGAAACATTTAAATCAGAGCTAAACAACCAGGCCATTGGGATTTTATATGTAGAAGTAAATGAGGATTTTGTTCAGGGAGATTCTCAAAGATCCTTCTCCTGCCCACAGTTCTGGTGAATGTGATGGCTGTGTGGCTTCTCCAGGTGTCCATGCACTGTAGAAGAAGAGCTGAGCTTCCTAGGAATGCTGCGTTCCGCTTCTCCAAAGACCCCACTGTTCTGCTGTCATTCATCATATGCTATCAGGTGTTGGTTGGAGCTGGTTGGGCATTTATCCAGGTATTGGTGAGTAAGAGTGGTTTTGAGTGCTCCTTCTACTTGTGTAAAACATATAAACATAAATGTAGATCATGTAAACAATTAATTATCATATGTCAGGAGAGAGAAGAAAATGAATGACTCAGAGATCTCAAAGTGTAATACATTTTATGCACCAGTAGAAGATGTAAAACGTTCATTGCAGAGGGGCAGAAATATAAGAATAGGGAATGAAAAAGTAATTTTTAAAAGACCAAGGATAACTCAGCATTTATTATATTGTATAATTCATCTAGTTATTTAAATGCATTACATAAATTCATTCTCTCAGCAACTCTGAAAAGCCGCTATGCATCATTAACTCTTTCTTACATCTGAAAACAACACTGGATATGTAGTAAGTTCCATGAAGTCAACAGCCATTGAGTAGCAGACCTGGGTCTGACTTACAGGGTCCATTTCACTTTGTTGCCTTCTGCATATATTTGATTTGGTAAAAGGAAATTCAAATTTCATGCAATTTTCTTTTTCCCATTCTGTCTGTTATGGCCAGGGAAATAGCCTTTTAGTTTCTCTGATCTTTGAAGGCTTGGAAGTGAACAATGTAGATATTTCTTAGGTAATTCTGTTGCATAACTGAGCAGCTATAGCTCAACTCAGTCCACAATTAAGAGTCATGGATCCACTAGGGAGGGAAAGAGAAAGCACTGTACAACTCAGGGGTTACACAGCAGGAGCATATGTGTGTGTCTTTTCATTGGTTGGATGAATATGTACTGAATTGCACGAGTGAGTGTAATCAGTGTAAACAAACAAAGTCAAACCCAGACAAAACAAAACGCAAGGAAACAGCATCTGCTCCCTAAACTTCCAGAGAGAAAAGGTGCATCTGCCTAAATTGGTTTATTGCTTGTTTTTTTCTTAGGGTTGCAGCCATTTGTCAAAGATATTCCCCTAAATCCAGGGATTTAAAAGTGGTGAAAGTCTTGTATCTTGGTTTGAATTTCCACATAGAATATAATCAATCACAGCAAAGAATGGGATCCCAGTAATACAAAACTTATCCCAGGAGTTTATTAAATACTTATATTAGCTACTGTTCAGTTCTTTCTCCTGCTGTGAATGTGCAGATCATTTCATACATTAGGGCAATCAGGAAACAGAATGAAGATAATTGCAGGGGGAAAATTATTGGAAGAATTTATTTCTGATAAAGAAATTATATCCATAATACACAAAGAAATTTAAAAACTCAATAATAAGAAAAGAAATCATGAAATCAAAATCCATTCTTTTTTTTTTTTGGTACTGTGATTAAACTCATGCCTGCATGCTTGCAAGGGCAGGCACTTATGCCATTGAGGTAAGTCCTAGGCCCGAAACCATGCAATCAAGAACAGGTTTGAGATATGTGGTGAAGGAGGTGTATGAGCACCAAGTAGATGCATTAAAGTTTCAGATGAACGTATACTCATAACTTCAAAGATATTCAATGCTTATCTCATGGCACTGATGCATTGCAGATTATCTCTAACCTCCTGGGAAAAACGATTTCATTTCCACAGTACATCACTCACTAAGGCCCTGCGATGAAATCCAAAGTCAGGGTTTGAGTAAGAGAAAAAAGAAAAAAACCTTAATATTTGCAGTTTTGTGTAGCTAATGTTCTTCCTGGCTGACATCTGAAGAAACGGCAGAATGTTGAGAAAGTGTGTAGGAACAATTGTGTGTAACAGAGTTATTTAACGGGGCCAGCAAAATATTTTTTTGGTGGAAATAAAAACATAAGAAAGCATTGCAGGTTTCTGTGGCTTGAGTTTTCAAGTCTATACGGAAGGAATAGGAGAGCCAGAGCATGTTTGACAGTGACAGAGAAATAGCATGCAGCTACTGACAAGCAAAAGAAAAACACACACACACATGATTTTCAGTTTGCAGTTGCCAGCGATGGATGAAGTGAGTGTTAAATGTCCATGAATCAAGGGATAAATTGCTGGTAAAAGGAACAGGAGAATGATGCACAGCTCAGGATTCTCTTTGAATCCCTCAGTCTGAATACAGTAACTTCCCTGATACTCTTTATGGTGAAATCTCAGAGAACAAAATGGAAGATAGCCAAAACTTACAGTTTATCCTTTTATCAAATTGTGATGACCACCGTGATCGTCAAGGGTATGAACAATGTCCATGTGTATTTGTGTGTGTACAGTGTGTGTGTGTGTGTGTGTGTGTGTGTGTGTGTGCGCAGGGTGTGTGTACATGTGTGTATTCTAGCACATGGATTTTATGAAATTCCTTTCCTCTTCATAAAATAGAATGAACCAAATGTTGAACGTGGCAAACATTTATCTTCTAGTGTTAGACTCCTGCTTGTCCTTCCTTCAGGTTATCTTCACCGTCAGGAGAAGGAACACACAGGCACAACTAGGAGACCCATGTCTACCTCTGCAAATGTAAGTTCAGTATTTTTTCTGCTTTGTGTTTGCCAGAAGACAGTTGGTGCTTACTTCCTATGCATGACTTTCTTTCCTTGTGACTGGGACAAAGCAGTTGACAGCAGAGAAGTGGTAAAGTTTGCTATGTTTCACAGTGTCAGTCCCTGGTGAGCTGGTTGCAAGCTAGAAACAGGGTAATGGAGGGCATCGTGGAAGAAAGGCTGCTCTCCTCATGAAGACCAGGAAGCAGGGGGAGAAGGGAGGAGCCAGAGAGAGACATCCATTCCCCCAGGTTCATGGGCCCAGTGGTCAGGCTCCTAGCTATAAGTATCTCTGTGATTTCCTCACATTCTAAAAGCCCAGCCTATAAGTGTAAGAGATGTTAAGAGGGTATTCCAGATCTCAACCATTATTATTCAAAGATTAACTAAAGTACAGGTTACATAGATGAAGTGACCATATTTGTGTGAATTTACTAGACTGTGTTAATTTGATACATGCATGTGGATAGCTATTAACTCAGCTGTGATAGCATATATATCAAAATACACCTTTATCATTCCTTTGCAGTATATAACTTGTAATCTCTTTCACTGTTTGATAAATGATATGGAATATGTGAAAAATAGTACTCAATTCCAATATTTGAACATTTTATTATTCTAATTTTATTGATTGAATTTATTTTTGTCTCTACTGCTAATTTTACTAGCTCCCTTTCTTAAATTCCGTGTGCTTCACAGTGCTAAAATACAATTCCATTTACTCTGAGGGTGTCACTTTACTTTTCACTTTTGTATTTTAGTTGGTTTTCTCTTATTCTTTCATATTGCATCAGTAAAGTGAGTTTTCCCCTTTAATAGGTGAATGCAATATGATTTTCTGAATTATTTTTAAAATATATATTAGGTAACATTATTATACATCTGAAATGTTAATTTCATATTCTACTCTGGCCTATTCCACTTCTCATCACTTCTCATTTTTATTCTCTGTGTCATTAATCTAGCGCATCCAGTATGTCCTATGATTCTGATACTATAACTTGTGATTCATCTTAAATTGAGAATTTCAGTTGAATTTTTTTCAGTTGTATTTCTAATAAGTCTATTTGTGCATTGACTTCTAGGAATTCTTAGTTTATTTTCCCTAATTCTCTTTTTCTACTGCAGCAGTGTATCATATGTTGCATAATGATTTCCTCTTGGAATCATTCAGTTCTCTATTGTATCTTATTTGACCTCATTAAATAATAAATTATTTGATTAATTCAGCTCCTTATTTGTATCATCTTTAATGTAATTGATTGTTTTCAGTATTCTGGTTTCAAATTCTTTGATATTTCAATTGTGATATCAGTAGAATTGGTTTTAGAGAACTGCAAATATTGGGAATCTGTTTTCTTGGCTTTCTGATGAATCTAGTGTGTGTGAGTTTATGTGTCTGTGAGAGACAGACAGAGAGAGAGACAGAGAGACAGAGAGAGAGACAGAGAGACAGAGACAGAGACAGAGACAGAGAAAGAATGTGTGTGAGTGTAATATGTTGAAGTTTGAGGATCACTGGGGTTGGAGAGTGAAAGACCTATTGTGCATAAACCTTTTGAGGAAGTGCCTTATTCATTGTGATGTTTCTTAGGCTGTCAGGGTCCCAGCAGGAAACAATGCAGTCAACCCTTTGTTCTCCAATTTGGCACTAGATTGAGCTCTTAGCACTGTTTCTGAGGACAGAGTAACCACCAAGTATATCGGTATCTGAAAAATAATCCATAAATTCACGTGTAATTTAAAACTTCTTTGAACTATTCTCCAAGTGTTTCATTCCTCAGGAACTGACAGAGGAAGTAATAATTTGGGACCTACTAGGGGAGCAGTAGGCTTTAATGAGAATATTCTTGTATAACAGAAATGAGGGATGGAGTATGTGAGAGACTATGAAAAGAGAAGGAACAAACAAGGGAAGTGAATTTGAATGAAATGTGAGAAAAACATAATGAGATTATCCCAGTGAATGAGCAAGCAGGTGCATGTGTCTGACAGGCTGGCAGGCAGAGGAAAGGGGTCTGTAGGCAGACAAAGGCCTCTTCAGGCTTCCTGGCTAATCCTGACAGGAGCCAGGTAAAGCTTTATTGGAGGGAACATTAAGAGTAAGGCGGGGCTGAAATACAGAGCAGTAGTTAGAGTCAAACTTGGGCAGATGCAGAAACCAGGCAGCCTGCCACTGAGAGAGCTCACCTTACTCTGAAAGCCTTCTCTTGTCACCGTCAAATACATATGAGAATAAATAATGTAATCATGTTGTTCAACTACATGCACTCTTGTTAGTGTTTATCTAACAGCATCATCAGCCATTTGAATAAGAGTTATAGTTGATATAGTAAACACCATTCATGAATATGTGAGCATTTACCCTAGGTATAGGAAGTTATGAAAAGTACTCCGTATAATACTGGAAATACACTCGCATGCACACACACACACACACACACACACACACACACACACACACACACGTATCCACACAGAAAATGTGATACTTAGAATCCTGCAAGAGGATCAGCAATCCTACAAGTGGTACTTCAGATTAGGAAGTAATTGTGAACTTGAAAAAGAAACAACAAACCGCTAATGAGAAATAACATTAAGAAAAAGGAATGAACAGAAGTCTAGAGTAACTTCAGGACACTATGAAGTAATCTGAGAAAACTGAGCCATCAACAGTTAATACTGATTTCGCAATAAGAAACTGAAGAAGCCATTGGCTATGCAGTTCAAAGCATCCTGGGAAGGACAACTCTAGAAGAGTCCTCAGTATGTGCACAGAAGGAATACTAAATGCAAAAATTTTAAATTCAGTGTGAAAACACTGCATAATAATAACTTTAAAGTACTAAAGAAAACTTATACTATTGCAATTATAACTTTCAGCCACATATAATAATAACATTTATGAGAAAATAAAGAATTGGGGAAGATTGATTTATATTATGCAAAGTTTCTCATGCAGGAGGTTGTTCAATAAGGGTTGACCTATATAGTCCATGTTTACTGTTTTCCATCACCTGAGTTCAATCTCCAACACCAAAAGAGAAGTTATTTCATATATCATTATGAATACATGAAGTTATTTCATATATTAAAGTGACCTTAATATATCATGAATTTTAAAATAAAAGGTCATTACTGCATGAAAAAAGCAAATATATCAAGAATAAAGATATCACCAAATCTTCAAAAAACTTAAAATGGAAAGTAAAATATAGTTTCCTGTTAATGAGTTTGATGATGAAAAAGCAAAATTCTTTAAAGGTACATTAGAAAAAGAGAGATAATAAGAGTAATTGCCTACTTCATAAGTGCAGTAATTTTATGAGAATTATTCATAGGAATGAAATATTAGTAGTAGTTTTTCCTTTGTAAAGCAAATTCTCACCTACCCTTCCCACTGGAATGATGGACAACAGATTGCATGCACTCTCTTTTCATGTGAAAGATGCTAATAAGAGTATTTAAGAAGAAAAAGATAGGGCATCCTGGGCACTGAATTACTTGCCCAAAGCAGGCAAATTGAAAATAACCTGAGCAATAGGATAAGTATGAAGCAGCAGGAAAACCAGCGACAGCCATCAACGCTGTTTTATGTCAGACGAGTCTATTTCTGAAAATTATATTGTGCTAGGAAAGCTGTTTGCTGGTGTGATTAGCCTGCCTGTAATCAGGCACCATCTGATAAGTGTTCTCTCCACTGACCTCTGTTTTAGTAAATGTAACGGCAGTATTACTTTCTACTCATTAATTATTCGGATGCAAAAACGTGTTCATAATTTGTTGCACAGCATTGTAGTTTTTTAAAAATCATATTGTATTTCATAGCACATTGACCTTACACCAAGAGAGACAGCATGATATCTTCAATTATTTCAGAAATAATTTCCATTTTGTGATATGTGTAGTGATATAAGAAATGAGTGGGCAAAAGGAAATAGTTCAGATGTTCCTTCTAGCCAGTAGATTGTATTATGCTTACTTTCTAACATGATATAAATGCTTTGTACCCTGTGTAATAAAGGACATAACATATACCTAATTTATTTAGAATTATAAAGTTTCCTGAATTTATATATTATTTGCAATATCAGATTCTATTGATGTGTTTCATACCCAAAACCAACAGCAAACTTCCAAACTCATACACATACATAAAAATGAATGTAAGAGTGCTGGGGTGTAGCTCAGGGGCACAAGTGCCTGCCTGTCAAGTGTGAGCTCTTGAGTTTGATTTCCAGTACCAAAAAAAAAAAAATCATGTAAGGAAGAAATCACATGTAGTAAACATAACTGAAAAAAGACAACAGCATGTAAATGTATGAAACTGAAGACTTTTATGTTTTGAGAGATGAGCCCGAACATTTTAAATAATACATACATACATATTAAATTATTAATTAAATTGCAAAGAAAAACAACTAGAAATATGTACAAAGATAGCATTCATAAAATGTAGATACAAACAAATAATAAATGATAATTTTCTATAACATTCATGTAGAACAGTGTGTGATTTTGTCACTAACTCAGAAATATGAGCAATAAAATAGAATGTAAAATATACAAATGAATTCATCAAAAGTTTTGAATTAGTAAAAGACTGATAAACGTCAGTCCAAATAGAGTTTTTGTATTTTACTTTGGATATGCAAAGTACAAATATAAAGTGTATTCAATATTAAGACATACTAGCTTCCTAAACTTAACAGTTTAATTTAATTTAATATTTAACTAATATTTAACTAATTTAATATTTAACTTTATTTAGAATGCAAAGTGGATAACTTCTTATCTTTTTTAAAACTTTGTAGGTTTTGTGTTTATACATTAACAAAACAGTGCTATTGCCCTACACGTTTGACATCAATCTTCTGCCATATTCTGTCATTCCAAAGTGTGGGTGAGGTGATCACTCAAAGCGAGAGACCTGCTCCTGTCCACACTCTGGCAGGAGCTCATATGCAGATCTCA